TTTCTATTGGGGAAGTTTCTTAATTGACCATTCCCATCTGTAAAATGGGGATAATAATGGTACCCACCTCCTAGGACTGCTTGGAGGATTCAGCGAGGTCATATACATAGAAGATCTAGTGGAGGGCCTGGCATGAAGTGAGCCCTCCGGAGATGCTCGCTGCTATTATTAGACAACTCCAGGACAGTGCACTGTTTGGATTGCTTCTCTAAGCTCTGATCCCTTATTAAGCTTTCAGCTGTGCTGTTCTACTTGTTAAAATTGGAAAAGAAATAGGGAATAACCACAGCACATGCACTGAGCCAAGCAAGTCCTACCTTAGGCAGAAGTCCATAAATGCAAATTGAGATCGTACCGTGAACTGGTCATTGGTCTTTTCATTCTCTGTGGTGGCATGATACCATAAACCAGTTTGCTATGTAAAGCAGTCTCAACTTTTTGGTGCATTTAGTTTTTATAGTTAGGAATGTTTGAATTAATAGGCTTTTTCTTCTTTTCAGCATGATCTATGTTTTGGTGAGCTCTTAGAACAACACACAGAAGAATTGGTCCAAAGTGCATGCAAAAAGCCACCAAATGGAGGGATTCTATCCAGCAAGATCCTGTTTCCAAGAGTAGCCTATGGAATCTGATCAGTTACTTTAAAAAATGACTCCTTATTTTTTAAATGTTTCCACATTTTTTGCTTGTGGAAAGACTGTTTTCATATGTTATACTTGGATAAAGAATTTAAATGGAATTACGTATAAATTAATATAAAATGATTACCTCTGGTGTTGACAGGTTTGAACTTGCACTCCTTAAGGAACAGCCATAATCCCTTGAATGATTGCATTAATTATTGACTATCCTTAGTCCATTGGAAGCTTTTGTTATATATAGGAACTTGTAGGGCTCATTTTGGTTTTATTGAAATGCCATCTAATTATAAATTAGCTGTAGATATCAGGTGCTTCTGATGAACTGAAAATATATATCTGACTTGTGGGAAACTTCATGGGTTTCCTCATTTATCATGTGTGTGATTATATATGGACAAAATAAGAAGAGTGGGATTTTTTTCCCTCCAACTTGAATATTATCCCTGTATATTGCATGAATGAGAGACTTCCCATATTTCCATCAGAGTAATATACTTGCTTTAATTCTTAAGCATAAGTGAACATGATATAAAAATATATGCTGATTTACTTGTGAAGAATGCATTTAAAGCTATTTTAAATGTGTTTTAATTTGTAAGGTATCACTTATAAAGAAACTGGTTATTATACTTAACTGTTCTAATCTGGTGGTAAAGGTATTCTTAAGAATTTGCAAGTACTTTAGATTTTCAAAACTGAATGAGAGAGAACATTGTATAACCGTCCTGCTGTTCCTTTAGTGCAATACAATAAAACTCTGAAATTAACTTATTTTCAGTGCATTGTTTTAAAGACTACAAATAGCTATTTCTTACACTTGCTTAATACATAATGAAGACATATTACTGTCAATTTCAAAAAAAAAATAGTAGAGTATGACATTGTATGTGTGCGTGTTTGTAGTTGTTTTTTTTTTTTTTTTTAAATACCATGTCTGCATCTAAAAAGGAATATTTTTAAATGGCTAAGCACATTACCCTCTGTTGTCACTTGACAGGATTCATAAACATCGATGGCACAGCATCATCATTTCTCTTAACCAATTTAAAAAATTATTGTGGCATTTAAAATGTTAAAAAAAATTGTTTTTCCTTTTTGAAACAGCAGGTTTCAAGGAAAAATGACTTGTTAAATTTGAGTTTTTGCTGCTGCTTGTAAGGTAGGTAAATTATGGCTTGCATGTTTTGGGAAGAATTCTTGTGCTTTATTTGGAATGAAGTAGTTAAGGCAATTGAAAATAGTGTAAGTGATTCAGAAGTTTCTTAAAAGATCAAAGAAAGAAAACCAATACCTAGGAATTCCACATAATGCTCAAGGGAGTTTATGGATGAGTTTGTGGAGCTCCTGCTCTAAGAGCTCCTTGAATTAGATGCTGTTGAATTCTCGGCTAGTGAGAAAATGCCTCCCCACCTTTGGGAGAGTAGCTGTTAACATCTTGGGATTGAGTAACAGGGTGAGTGTGCTGAAGAAGAGGATGTAGAACCAGAAGAGTGAGGAGAGCCAGACCATTTCATGAGAGAAGCTTTAAAGACCTTACATTTTATGGTCTGGAGGACACCTCGAGGGATCTGTCTGTTGGGTCAGTTCATGCAGAAAATTATTTATTGACCAGTTGCTAGGCACTGAAGATTCGTGCTCAGAGTTTGAGCAGCCATTCAGTTTCTAATCCACCTAATAATGTCAGCACCCACTCCTCATTTTTCTTTCTGGTTCACAAGTACTTTTGATCATCACAGACCTTGCCAAGTCCAGATAGGTTTCTTGGGCTGTTCCTTTAGCATTCCTGTCAAAGTATTTTCACAAGCCTTTGCTGTCTCTTAGCAAGCACTACTTTCTTTTATAAGTTTTAACACATCTTCTTTTAATAATGTATTCCAGAATATTCTCAAAATTCTGCAGGGTTTACCGGCTGCAATTTGTGGAAGCCACCTTCTTATGCTTCAGAAATTAAATATGTAGTCCTTAGCTGATTCCTCGAAGGTGACTGACTGACTGCCAGTGAGCTTTACCCATCTCAGTGGTAGGTTGTTGGTTCCCAGGCATGAAAGCGATTAAAAGATTGAGTACCTGGAAGCTCTCACAATATCTACCCATCTTTACCTTTTCTGGTATTTTAGGAACTTAAATCACTTGCTAGGAGAAAGCAGAAACAAGGTACTTGCATTAGGCAGTATCCTACTGGCTCTTTTCCTTGCTCAGAATCTAATTTGTGGCCCCCGTTTATCTGGTTTGGGCAGCCCTCGCGTTCTGTTATTTCTGCAGCCCAGCTGCGGCATAGTTAGCCTGGGTTCCTAATCCATCCAGCTTTACCACCCTGCTCCCTGTGCAGTGACAGCTGTTTACTTAGGTATTTTTTTTTCCTTGTTACAATTACTTCTGCTATTATGTGCTTTGTTTTATCTTGAGTAGTTTTCCAGCTTCCAGAAACCATTAATATACCACACTGTGGTTTGTATCTATACTGACAACTCTTTGTTGCTATGGTACTACAGATTCTCCTGAATTAAAAATCTTATATAATAAATGTAGTCTATTTAGCAGTTATTCTATGGAGTAATAATAGTATATCATGGAATATGTCTCTTTAGTACTAAGGAGGTGTAGAGGTAGAAGCCTATTAATGACGTTTGATGATTTTCACAATGCTTAACTGGTATTGTCCAGTTGCCCCATGGTTGAGGAGAGTTGGGTGGGTCCCAGGCGATGGACAAAGTGCTAATTTGTTTGAAGTCTGAATTATTTTTCATGGGAAGGGGAAGTGATAGGAAATGACCAGACAATCACTTTTGACATGTGTCGAGTATTATGAAAGCGTATGAGAAGCCTCATGGATTATACCATGAACTGCCTGACCTAGCAGTCAAGATCAGATCCCCAGATAATGTTCTTTCACAGAGCAGTGAATTACGTGGCAGTTTGCAGTATGTGTCTCATTTAAAGCCTGTTCAGTATATTTAGGCCTGAGGACCACTCATGCTAATACCTCTCATAGAGCTCTTCTCTGCTCTCCAAATCAGCATATTTTGAAAATATGTCAGATGTGTGCATAGAAAGGAGATAGAAATGTAGATACATTCTTAACTAGAAAAATATTTTCCTTGCTACAACATTTCTCTTCCAATTATATGTTTATGAACAGTGTTCATGGAATATTATCGCCATGGTGCAAATAATGACTTCTGATCCCCTGCAGGGGTGTGAGCTTTCATTTTAGGTGTGGCTACGGCATAGCAGTGTGATGATTTATCCCACCCAATTAAATAATGGTCTGTATTTAAAAGTATTCATCTAGTTTACTTATTTATATATCATTCAACACTCACAAATGTGCATCTCTCAATAATCAGTTGTATGATACAATTGTAAAACAGAAATGTTGACAGCAAAAATATTTTAAAACAACTCTATTCGAAGGGGAAAGATAAAAATATTGATACCTGTCTAGCATTGTTCATAGGAGTACTCATATTCATCCTTTTGGGAAACTACTAATGTTAGTCTCAAATTATTTAAGCTCTTTTGCTGAAACCAAACTCATCTGTGGTCAGAGCAGCAGCCAGTGAGTCTCTGGTACCAGTATTATAGCTCAGAAGATGATTCTGAACGAATCTTTAGAGTGCTGCCAAGAGAAAAAATGTGGCTCTGTTTCTGGATATGTTGAATAGCTTTCTTAGGACAATTTCCCTTTGATTAAAATGAAGAGTCCTAAAGCTAAGTATCTAAAAGGAGTAAACAACTCTGCTGCTTGTTCTACTTAGTTTTGGGAAACAGTATTAACCATATAAAGTGACTGATCTAGGGGACTGGAGTGAAGGTTTTATCCTATGTTAATTTTACTAATGCACATTGTGGACGTGAAGATGTAGAGAACATCTTCACATGGATAAGTTAATTTTATTGTACGATACGTTTTCTAAACATTTAAATCTCTTTGCTTACCATGTTCACGTAGCCTGGAGAAGAAAAATTTCTTAAATAATAGGTTGATGACTAGGTAGACCCTAAAACTACTAACAGAAACATAGTAGAATGTAGTTAGCCATCTGTGCTCATGGTTTGTTAAAATCTGAGTTAATCTGATCGGTGCTGTACCACTGTCCAAAGAAGATGCCCTTAAGTAGTCCTACCTTCTTAGAGCTTCATTTATTTTGCTTTTGTATATCAAATAAAAACCGTCTCAAATGTTTCCTTGTATAGTTTATTGTTAATGACTGAGTCTGTGTGTTAATTCAATTTCAGCAGCTAACTCGGGCTTTTGTGTGACCAGGACTCTAGCTTGTCTTTCTGCCTCCTCTCCCCCATTGTTTTGAGGGAGGGCTATCCCATAGGTTAGGTAGAGAAAATACTTTTCCAAGAGTGTGAAATTACTTTTTTTTTTTTTTTGAGTAGTGCCATTCCATGTTTCTCTGTTAACAGAATAATTGTTTTCCCTTGATACTTAGTATTAAAGTAGTTAAGCATTTTAAACATGGAAGGCTTAACTAGCATTTGCAGTAAAAATGAGAGAAGCATGGACTTTGAAAGTTCAGTTGATTATTAAAGGATTTGGTTAATCCATGCCAATATTTTCCCTCTACTTTTTTAAGTGTTCATGAATAAGCTCTATATTCGTATTAAGAAAAAGCAATGTAAGATTTGGTGATGTCAATTTCAGTGATTTCTTAAAGTTTAATAGAGTACTGTGATTTTTAAATTGTATTTGGTTGTAATACTGAAACCATGAGGAAGGTCAGTCTGTTATTGCAGCCCTTACTTACTAAAAAAACTTTTTTTTCTGGCTGTAACTTTTGGCATTTATTATCTTACATAAGAAACTCCTAGTTTAAGTATTCAGATACTGGTGGGATTTGTGGTTATCCCATCTTCCTTAGTAGTCTTATAAAATCTTAAATTCCTGAAGTAATATGTATATAAAAGTGTTAAAATACTGATTGTATCTTATGGAACGTACTTGATCTCTGGTCTGAAGATCCCAAACAGCACTAGTAATTGTTTTAAAGTATTCCCCAGTGAAATTAAAGTAGCTCATCAGCAGCAAGAAGAGTGTGAAACAAAAGTGAACTTTTGGCAATTACAAAACGAAGTTTTGATGCGGTGAAATTTACTTTGTCTTGTGTGGTAGTACGTATGACCCATGGTTCACATTTGTGATTGCCAGCAGCCAAGGGACTACTTACTGTATATAGCACTGAGGCCACCGATGCCTGTGAAACATCCTTGTCCACAGTGCCAACTGCTCAACATCACAGTTAAAGACAGATAGACATATTCAGTAGCAAAGGGTGAGGTGAAGGAGCGAGAGAATTGGAGACTTAATCTGTGGATAAGTGCTTTCTCACATAAATGTGAAAGAGGGATTAAATTCATTCCATGTAGTCCCTAGGGTAAAAAAAACGAATGCTCTAAAAACAGAGCAGTTGTCTGACCCAGGGAATTCCTCTTATCTGAAAATGTTCCAGCAAATGCTGGCCAAACACCTGTTGGGGATGACCCAGTATTGGGTGGGAGGTGACCAGACGAATCGTAGGATCTCTCACACTTCTGTATGTCTATGAAGTAGAAAGAACCATGGGAGAAAATGTGGGAGGAATAGAGGATGAAAGTTACTTGATTTTAGCTTGGGTACTCAAACCAATTTTTATACTTATTAGTATGTCATATTCTACCTGGTAGTTACAAATAGTAAAATGAGGTAAACGTATGGTAAATAATAAAAATAGGCAAATATTTTTCCATATGTTTGTTTCAGCATTACTTCCAGGTAAAATATTCCAGAGAAGTCAGTGCCTTTCTAAAAAAGGAAAATTGTATGGCAATTTTTTGATCTTCTGTAAGAGATGAGAGACACAACAGATTTGTCAATAAAAGCTTTAGGAATATTCTGCACATACACATTTACATTCAGGTTGGTAACACTAGTAAGTTTCATTTCAATACAAATTATGTTAATAGCTCTTAAATTTCAGACATGGTCATATATATGTCATTTGAAATTCTTTTTTATCTAGATACAGATCTTGATAATGAATCTCTTGATGATAGATGTGCAGCTAGTTTGTCCCGAAACTCATGAAGATAATTATATTGCTGAAAAAAGTAAAGATATATTGAAATATATTGTAGAAAACTAGTTAGGAGAGTAGTCACAATACTAGTAGGAATCAAAAATAATTGCTAAGAACAGTTCTACATCCTTTTGGGTAAGGAAGTGTTTGCATTGTGAGAAGTTTTACCTTTCAATAAAGCTGCATATAGTGTGAAAAAACTATTGCTTTAAAAATCAGAAGGTAACATGCAATACACCTGAATGTTTTATAAATCTGTAAAATCCTTTCTCCCTTTACTGGCATTTACTGGAGCAAATTAAAATTAAAAATAATACATGAAGGCATTCTTTTTTGCTAATGTATTTTCCTCTGGGGGTTAAGTAGGGAGGAGAGGGTACATGCTATAGCAATTAACAATGGTAGAGTGAAGAAAACCTATTCCTTAGTTTATGGAAGCCCTAGATTTCTGCTTCTTGTGATGACATAATCCATTTGGAACAATGTTCACAGTAGTCAATATTAAAAAAAAAATCACTAATCTTAACAGATAAGTGAAATAAAGCTTTAAATAATTTACTTGGAGTTTTAATAGTTTCCCAGAGGATTTTCTTATTCTGCCAATAATCTCATTTTTTATCATTATTGGGAAGTGGAAATTGCATACTACTGGCTATCAGCACAGGGATGGGAAAGCCTTTCCGTGACAGAGCGCTGAGGTGATCAACTGACAGTCCATATAACACGGGCTTAATGCTCTCCAGGGTTAAAGATGTAAAACACACACACTCGGATATGTTTGACCATTTGGTTTTGTTTCAGAGAGAGGCCTGAAAACATCTTGAATTTGAAGAATCATTTGGTTTTAAGAGATAAGAAGGGGAATTCTCTGTTTTCAGAACCTGTACAGTGAGGTGGATCCTGTATGGATTGTTTTGAATGACCTGATTTAAGTCCTGAGAATCAGACTGCTTGGTGAATTTGTCAGTTACTGTAATAATTCACAGTCATGGCCCTTGGGTAGACCGCTGACCCTGGGAAGATGGACTCAAGCCCAGGAAGCTGCTGAAGGCCAGGACTCTCGTGCCTGATGCTCTGATTTAGTCCTAATGCTGAGACCGGGTACTTGGGAAAGGAAGGCAAATTGGCTTTACAGATCTAGAAATAAAGTGAAATTTGCAGAATCTTTCAGGAACATTAATATATAATAATATCCTTGGGGCACTGCTACTGCAGAGATTTTTAAGTGTTAAGGGGAAAGTAAATGGTGAAGTTTTCACCTTAGTTATCCACGGCAAAGGATAATTAGCATTGCTTTGCGGGGTTTTTTGTGTTACAGTCATTCATCTGTCTTTGTTAACTGTTTTGGTGATATGATAGGATCATCATTAGATCTTTCTGGCCAAGAAACTACCAAATTTATAGGAATCCTCTCATTTGGAAAATTCGGAAAATTTTTCTAAATGAGAGGATTCATTCTGAGAACTGAATGGGCAAAAACTGAACAGTAGTAGATCCTGCAAGAGTAAACTGGAAAGTTCAGATGTTTCATTATTTTGTTTGAAACACTGTGAACTTTTTCAGACATCCAGGTTATATTTAAACATAAATTTTGAGCAGGTGATATATGAATAACAGAATGCTTTGGGTCTTCATTGCCCTCTTGATGATGGATTCCACGTGTCTGTAATTGCCCCTAACCCGTGAGCACACAGGAGCGGGCAGCCTCCTTACCTTGATCGTCTGTATGGCTCCAGACCCTCGCAGGTCTCTCAGGCTGTCGATGGCTTGCTGTGGTGAAACTGTGTCAGACAGGTATAGGAGGAGACAGGCGGCTACTAATGGAACACGTTAGGAAAATAGTATTTTATTAAATAATTAATGATAGGGTAGAGCATTGCATATTTAATTAGACTTCCGCTGGTGCAGAAGATGGAGTTTAGTGTCATTGTGCAAAATAAATTAAAAGACTTTCAGTATGTGTTTTTGACAATTAAATTATGATTTTAAGTTACTGGTCGAATTGAAGTTTAAACTGGCTTTGTTCTTTATTGAGTTCAATATACCATATGATTCATTCATTTAAAGTGCACAATTCAGTGGATTTTAGTGTATTCACAGATAGGTGCAGCCATCACCGCGGTCCATTTTAGAACATTTTCATCCCCTCAAAAAAAAACCCTGTCCCCTCTTTTCATCATCCCCCTGCCCCCGTCACCCCTGCCCTAAGCAACCACTAATCTACTTTCTATGGATTTGCCTAATGTAGATATTTTATATAAATGCAATCATATGTGGGCTTTTGTGACTGGCTTCTTAGCATAATGTGTTGAAGATAAATCTGTTCAAAATTTATGTTTAAATATAACCTGGATGTCTGAAAAAGTTCACAGTGTTTCAAACAAAATAATGAAACATCTGAACTTCCCAGTTTACTCTTACAGGGTCTACTATGGTGGCATGTCCCTGTTTCATTCCTTTTTATGGATGAATACTATTCCATTGTATGGATGTACATTTTGTTTATACATCCACTGTCAGTTGATGGGCATTTAGGTTGGTCCCATTTTTGGCTGTTGTGAATAATGCTGCTATAAATGTTCGTGTACAGGTTTTCATGTAGACATGTTTTCATTTGTTTTGGGCATACACCCAGCAGTGGAATTGCTGGGACCCATGGTGACTCTAGGCTTAACTGAGGAAGTAATGCCAGACTGTTGTCCAAAGCAGCTGCACCATTTCACGTTCTCTCCCGCCATGTATGAAAGTTCCAGTTTCTCCACATCCCAACACATTTTTTTCCCACCTTTTGGATAATAGGCATCCTAATGGATATTGAGTGGTATCTCATTGTGGTTTTGATTTGCATTTCTGTGATGACTAATGATGTTAGGCATCTTTTCACGTCCTTAATGGTCATCTGTATATTTTTGTTTGAAGAAATATCTATTCAGATCCTTTGCCCATTTTTTAATTGAGTTGTCTTTTTATTATTGAGTTGTAAGAGTTCTTTGTATATTTTAGGTCAGTCCCTTATCAGATATATACTTTGTAAATATTTTTTCCCATTCTGAGATGTCTTTCCATTTTGATAATGTCCTTAGAAGCATAAACGTTTTTAATTTTGATACCGTCCAACATTAAAAGGAATAATTATTACTCTAGTATGCCATTTTGTTAACTATCTTTTTTCCTAACACATTTTTTCAAAGGTGAACAGTAATTGCATGAAGTAATTAACTTTGGTTTTCATACTTATGATGGATATTATTTAGAATTTACTGTCAGTATCATAACACCTGCATAGGGAAAACATTAGAAAACAAAACAAAACACAAGAATGCAGGTGCTAAGACTTGTAGATTATGTTTTGCAGAATCCTTCAAAACAGTGTTGAAAATACCTTCCATTCACACTCTAGCTTTCTAGAGAATACCAAATTAAGGGCCCTAAATAATTCTTTAGGTCTTAGCAGATTTATATTGTGTTTTGTCTCATTTTAATACAAAGTGAGCATATGGCCCAGAAACAGGATACTTTTGCCTACTTTGAGGATAAAAAAAAAAGACAGAATAATGAAAACACATTTCTTACCAAGACAAGATCTCCCGAGTCCTCCATAACAGCTGAAAGGGAAGCACAGTTTTGAATATTGTACGTTTTCCTTCCACCCCACCAATTAGAACTAAAGACTTACTCTTTCTGCCTTCTCTTTCTAAATCTAATAGTGCCTACTAGCACAGTGCCTGGCACACAGAGGTTAATAAGTATTTTTAAATTAATTAAGAGCAAAGTGTGCTTATTTATTTGTTGGGAGGCATTCTGAACACCTCTAACGGTCAATGTAGGCAGGGCCTTTTTATCGACATTTTAAACACCAGGATCCACATCTGAGAAATGGAACATGTTACTAAATAGAAATCAGACTATTTTGACCAACTGCCGGTTTATTTTCCTCTCTCTGTCTAAACAAAACCTTGGTTATGGAACAAGTCCGTATGATGACTCTTCATTAATCTAAAAAGAGTACAGAGGTGGTGTGTTACAGAGGTTTAGAGCCTGGGTTCTAGAGCCCCACTGTCTGGGGCTGAATGGTAAGGCTGTCATTATGACACATGTGAACCTAAGCAAGCGATTTCACCTCGCTGGGCCTCAGCCCTTTCTTTCACCTAAAAAATGGTGACAGCCAGAGTACCTGCATCATAGTTAGGACTGAATGAGGTAACTAGCATTTGTAAAGAGCTTGCAACAGAGCTTGGCACAGAGTAAGAAGTAAATGAATGTTAGCTGCTAGAGTCTAGCCTTGTGAAGAAATCAGCAGTTCTGCATAACTGGGTTTTCCAGAAAAAAATCATGATTAAACCTCAAAGCAACAAAACCATTCATTCTAATTACTTTCAAGGATGCTTTAAAAAATGCATTACACAATTCCTAACTTTCTTAGAGAGTTTATTGAACCTGATGGGGTGCCGACGACTTCTCTGGAACATGAATGAGCGTGGGGTACTGTAGATGAAGCTGGGAGAGGATATGAGCCACAGGGTCTTATTGCGCTTGCGTGCTAGTGCTGTTAGCCTGGGCTCCTTGAGGGTGGGGAGTGGGCCTCGCAGTGCGTGTTCTGTATTTATAGTGTTTGGTACACAGTGGGTGTTAGGGGTTGAATTGTATCCTCATAAAGGTGTGTTGAAGTCCTAATCCTGGTACTATGAATGTGACCTTATCTAGAAATAGGATCTTTGCAGATGTAATCAAGTTAAGATGAGGTTACAGGGGTGGGCTCTAATCCAGTATGATGGTATCCTTTTTTTTTTTTTTTAAGATTTTTTATTTGTTAATTTGAGAGAGATTGAGAGAGCACGAGCAGTGGAGAGAGGGAGAGGGAGAAGCAGGCTCCCTGTTGAGCAGGGAACCCAATGAGGGGCTCGATCCCAGGACCCCAGGATCATGACCTGAGCTAAAGGCAGACGCTTAACTGAGCCACCCAGGTGCCCTGACTGGTGTCCTTATAAGAGGAAATACCCCAAGAAGACACAGCAACACCGAGAGAATCATGTGACGATGGAGGCAGAGATTGGAGTGATGCAGCTGTGAGCCAAGGAACATCAAGGAGTGACAGCCACCACCAGAAGCTAGGAAGAGGCAAGGAAGGATTCTACCAGAGTCTCAGAGGGAATATGGTCCTGTTGACATATTGATTTTGGACTTCTAGCTTCAGGACTGGGGGAGAGCAAGTTTCTGTTGTTCTAAGCTACCCACTTTGTAGTACTTTGTTACAACAGCCCTAGGAAACAGCATAGTACAGTAGGCAAGCAGTGTCTGCTGATTTTATAAAGGAACAAAAATGCACAGGGAGAATCAATGGGACAGTGCTAGCAAACAACAAGATGGTGGAAAAAATTTTACCAGACCCAGTTTCTGAGGGATAAACTCTAGAGCCGTCTAGCAATGGGAGCACTCAAAGATGACAAAATGGATAGAAAATTAGTCACTGTAGGACACCTTTGAAAGCTCTAGGACGATGAAAATTTCCAGTCATCACATGCTTTATTTTATGGGAGCCAGAAGCATTCAACATATGCAAACATCTTTCCATCCTGTTTGTATTCTGTTCAAACACCAGACAGCATTTGGTGTGCTAGAACCTGCTCAAGTAGAATTCATTAAATTTCACTAATCTGAGCTAGTTTGATCTCTGGAAACTTTTCAGTAGAGGCTGTTTTTTCAAAGATGTATTTTAAAAAAAAATCTCAGAACTGATTTGAAAAATGGGTCCCAAAATTGGAAAATATTTTTCAAGAGCCACATGAAATTATCTAATGCTATTTTACCTTAGACTTGTTAGAAAATTACTTAGTATAGGCAACTTATTCTAAAAGTTTGCTTTTATAATTAGTAAAGCAATTAGTAATTGCTTACAGTTACAGATTATGCTTTTCTCTAGAGAAAGGCTGGAAACTGTAGAATGTAGGATTGTTTCTAGTTCTCTGTACATTAGAGTTTAGTTCAGCCATGAAGAATGTGTATCCCCAAAGCCCCGTGCACTATTTGGTTTGCCTTCAGAATGGGAACAGTTGGCACGAGGCCCCCCAGCTCCAGGTCTAAGGAGAGAAGCTGGCTGGGCTTGCCCTTTCCGTAGGTGCGCTGAGCCTACCTGCTTATTTGGTATCGTCTGCATACTTTCTAGTTCAAATCAGTGACTTTAGGGCTTTTGAGGTATCAAGCTATTTGATACTCTATCTTGTTCCAGAAAGGATTAAGCAATTTATTAGGATGCAGAACGTACGAGAAGCACAGAGAAGGACTAGTTTGCTCCCTGTGGCTGGCTCTCCTCTGCAGTGTGTCTCCCTCTGGCAAAGCATCTACTGTATTACCCCCAGCACCACTTCTCATCTTTGTATCGCTGCTGTCTACTGCTGATTGTCACTCCCTTTTTCCTTTCTCCAAGCTACTTTTCTCTCTCCTCCTTTTTTTTCCGCCTTAGCTCATTTTATTTCGTTTTAAATTTCCATACCAGCAGTTTGTGCGTAGCCATTGACAAACAATGAGAGTCCCTCTTTCATTCTGGTGGCAAATTCATATCATCAAATATAATTTTCCAGTCATACTTTTAAGATTGCTCATTGTTTATGAATGATTTCTTTGCTAATTTTTTAAAAAACTGACTTTTTAAAAAAGATTTTTTATTTATTCATTTGAGAGAGAGAGAGCACGAGTGGAGGGGAAGATCAGAGGGAGAGGGAGAAGTAGATTCCCCTCTGAGTAGGGAGCCTGACTTGGGGCTCGATCCCAGGGCCCCGGGATCATGACATGAGCTGAAGGCAGACGCTTAACTAACTGAGCCACCCAGGCGCCCCTCAAACTGACTTTTTTTTTGCTGTTGGAAGCAACTAAGCAACTGAAAGGCTGACCAATGAGTAAGGGTATCATAAGAATGATGCCCCACCTTTTTGGGAGGAAGAGGGTCCCAAAATTATAAGTAAAGTTCTAAGGCAAAAGGAAAGAATAACAAGCCTGTAAACCTGTTCTAAAAATTTCCAAATCTACTCATTTATTGTCCTTACTCTTCAAAAGTAATAATGGCAGATATCTGAGTGCTTGCCCTGTAGCAGACATTGTGCTAGTACTTTTCATGCCTCATCTCCTTTTAATCCTTGCACCAAACTAGAAGGTAGGTAATAAGTGAATAAGGATGCAATAATTAGAAAAATCATTCTGACTGGAGCATTTCTCATGTCATTTATGGAGAAAAGAAAAACGTACTGTATTAAGGTTTTTCGGTTATTTTTAAGGCAGATTGCAAGCTCCTCCATTATTTCGCAGCAGCTGGCTATGTCAGGAGTCCCTCCGTCTGGGATTGGATGATGATGAGTGATGATTGCATACTGATGGTAGAGGTCCAAAAGGTTTGGGACTCTGTATTTTGACAGTTCCCCTCTGGTGCAGAAAACAAATATGTCTTGTATACCATAGCTCTTTAGTTCTTCTGCCAATAAACCAAGATACAGATACACATGTACAAAATATTACAAATTTAAATTCAGTCAAGACAGAGGATGTGGTGTTATATTTCTTAAGCCAAACTAAGTAAATAACATGATAATCTATAAATTTGAAATACTGATAAGCTAAAACAATATTGATCTCTCTTCAAAGTAGGGTAAAAATCAAGTCACTAAGCACAAAATAGGAATTAGAAACACCTGAACCAAAAGGTGATTAAAATTAATCACCTTAATAATAAAATTATACTCTAATATAATAATCATAATTATATAATAACACTATAATATTATAATAGCATTAGAATAGAATGATTATAATATTACCATATTATAATTATATAATATTTATAATATGATTAATGACTTAATAATTCAAAATGCTTTTAACTGAAATTTAAGATGAGTCAACTATATTGCTGTTCTTGAAAAAAATCTTTTTTCAATAAGGCTTTAAAAATAAATTTTAAAACATCTAATAATTCAAAATAAACTCTTGTGAAGAAACGATAGCATATTTTTTTCTCATTTTCTTCTCACAAAATCCATGTTTGCTACTTTCCTCCCTCTGCTGTTTTGTTTTACCCTAAGCACTGTATATAAAATCTCCTGCATGCCCATGGTGCTCATGTTCTCCTTTATATTTGTACTGTGTCTTGCCATCATGCATTTAATTTTATGGACTAGGTCTCTAGGAAATAAAACGTTAACTGTGTTAGAATTAGGAGACTTAGCTAATTTCACTATAATGAATGTGAACCAAAAAATAGTACTCTTGGCCATTCTATACACTGGAACATCCTTATGGCAATATTCACTATAGAATCTTACATTCAAAATGAGTAATTCTGGCTGATCTCAGCCTCCTCTCTCTCCCTGCCTCCTAAATTGAGGGACATTTAACTAAGCACCTTTTATCACGAACCTCCAGATTTGTACTTGAAATGTGGCTAGTCCAAATTGAGATGTATTGTAAGTGTAAAATACATATCTGATCTCAAAGATTAAGTACAAAAACCCGCATCTCATTAATAATTTGTTTTATGCTTAAAACCATTGAAATGATACCAGTTAGGCTATGTTAGGTTAAATAAGATGTATCAAGTTAATTTCATCTTTTTTTACTTTTTTAGTATGGCAGCTAGAAAATGTAAAATTAAATACATAGCTTCTATTTGTGGCTCCCGTCATATTTCTGTTGGACAGTGTTGCTTTAGATAATACTATTATTTTTTTGTACTTCTAAAAGGATTAAAACCGAAGTCCACATACTTAACCATTTTTAAGAGTAGGTAATTTTCTCTCTGCCTCTTGCACACAATGGATAATTTCTATTATACAGTGGTTTTCAAACTTTCCTAGAAAGGACTCTGAGGAGGGAACCACAGGGGCTGATGCAGGGAGATTCTAGGTCTCTCCCGTCAGATTGTCATCTTTTATACATTGGATTCCATTTAAGATCTCACTGGAAAACAAAAGGTTTGGTAAAATACTAGAAACCCCTTTTATAGAAGATACTAAATGAATAGGGCTTTACAAAATGTGTAAGATTGGTTCTTGAATCAGTGATTTTCATTATAGTTTGCTTATGACCTAAATGTTCTCCAGATGAAAACTTCCTACCATGGCATGTGCCTCTAAATCAGAGAATCTTTACAAATAATGCAAGAGTCAACTAATTAGCCTCTGTAAGTCTTTTTTGGTAGGTAAAGAATAAATTAGAGAAAGCAAATTAATAAATTGATATTCCAAAACAACCAGGAAAAAATTTTAAGATTTCAAAAATTTATACTGGTCAGACTCAAGATGTGTGTGTGTATGTGTGTGTCTGTGTATATGAGGGTGTGTGTGTATTTATTTATATTTATTTTGGTGTATTATAAGGACATTAGTAGGACTACCAGCCTTGAGATATTCCAGGCCAACCAGGATAAATTTTGAAAATCCAAGTTTTTTAGTACCATGCAATATGTAAATTCCAAAGTGGGGTGGGTTAGTAGGATATTTATGGGGTTATTAGACTTGAGGCTACAGTGTTATAAACATCCTTGAGCCTGTGAAGATCAGACCCTACTGCATCTTTCCCACTTAGATGCTCTCTAAATTTTCTATCCAGCATGGACAATTTCACTACTACCTCTGGGTTCTCAGCTCAGGCTTAATTTCTACTATCATAATCAAGTCTGTAAAGGACAGTATGTTCAAAGATCTGGGCAGTGAAATGGCAGTTTTCTACTTACATACTTTCTTCCCTCCAACTTACACAATTTAAACTCAAATGCAATATGTGTAACTACAACAATCAGTGAAAAGCAATTCTGTGTTTAGTAAATGAGGAGTTAGTTCTCTGTGCCCTTTGCAAATACCTCTTTGCGTATTAGAATAAGTCTACAGTTTGAAACTATGAAATAACACACATTTATTTGGTATATGAGCACAGACTAACGTTCGTTCTTTTTGACAAAGAGATTTTCAGTGTTATTAGGAAAAAACTATTAATATGGTTGTTTCATGTTATACCTACCTGTATCTTTTTGGATATTTCTTCTAACATTTTTAAATTTACAACCTATAAGCAGTAATAAGGCAAGTGAAAAAGTCAGTTTTTGGTCACATATAACAAATATATTTAAACACATACAAAGCTACTTTACAAGGTCATACTTATATGATCATTTTTATGTTTCAATTTCATTTTGAGTGTGGATTTCAATTTTGTATATTCTTAGGAATGTAACTGCAGGGACTCATAGACCCCAGCTGAAGGAACTCCCAATCCAAAGAGTCTTTATTCTTTGTCCTTTCTGTAACAAGTACCTGCCTGTTGCCCTCAGCCTCACCTTGTACCCCAGTGTTGAAGTCTTATTAAGATAGGTAAATCAGAAATGCAGAACTGTGAATGGGTCTGGAAGGGTTGAAGAGTGATCTCTGTTCTTTTAGCTAGAGCCCACATGAGGGCTTCCAAAAGTGAGCTCCCTAGGCTGATGATCTATGAAATTCTCTTCTTGCTCAGTACAGTGATGTATTAGCTGATAAACAGATTGTCTTAAGAATATCAATAGGAAGCCACCTGCAGTGTTACCTACCTGGAAGAGCACATAAACCAAGAAACTGAGAACAATTCACTCGTGACAGGGGTAGCCTGAAAAGAATAAAACTTTAAGTTTAGTTCAGTTTTTATAAAGTTATAAATGGAAATTCAATTTAAGAAATGTGTGCTTGGCACTGAACGAGGGTGTTTTAAAGTTTTACCATAGTCACAAAACAAAAATGCATATGCAAATATCAATATGTTATTCACAAAAAGGCCCAGAAAGACTGGAAGTTTTAAAACAGGGATTTATCATTTGCTTTGTCACAATTTAATTCTTTTTTTTTTTTTTTTAAGATTTATTTATTTATTTGAGAGAGAGTAAGAGAGAGCACATGCAAGAGGGGGGAGGGAGAGGGACAAGCAGATTCCTGTTGAGTGCAGAGCCCAATGCAGGGCTCACAGGGCTCAGGCTCACAGGGCTCGGGCTCACAGGGCTTGATCTTAACAACCCTGAGATCATAACCTGAGCTGAAATCAAGAGTAGGATGCTTAACCCAAGAACCCCTGTCACAATTTAATTCTTAAAAATGGTGAGTTAATTTAAACTTAACTTAAAAATAATAATGCCTAGATTGCCTATGGCTAGTATAAAGCATACTTAAGTTACCCTGTGGTATGTTATCTGAGGTATTTTGTATTAGTAATCTTGGGGAATTAGCCAGAAAATGACCTTCTGATGATTTCATCCCCAGCATTCAGTCTATTGAATTACTATTTTAAGATTTCTTTATAGGACTTCCTTAAACAGATACAATTTCATATGATAAAAACATTCTTTGTTGTAATGGATTTTGGTTAAAATAAAATAATTTCAAGAAATCATATTCCCAGTTTGCAGTACTCAGGGACAAAAGCAGGTAAAGGCTAACCTGGTCTTTAGGACAGAAGATGAGTTTAGAGGAAAACAGAGGGCATTGTATAAATACCATGTGACTTGGAAAATTAGATGAGTTTTTGAGTTTTAAAGGGGATGTAAGGGGAAATGAAAGATAATTGCTATTTGATGGCAGAACAAAAGGAACTTTAGGGATAACACACTCTTTTTCTCTTCCTATAATTGGAAATGATGTTTTCTCAAATAGAGAGATTATTACTTTTACAGGGATGAGAGAAAGCACTGATTGTTGTAGAGATTCTAGTGTAACAATAAGTCACTGCCAAGATTTGGAAGTTGATTCTATATAGAAACATTTGTTTTTGCTCTTGTATCTATGGTAACATGACTTTTATCTTAAGCAGGGTCTGCTAATAGATGCATTATTGTGGCAAATAGTTCTAGGATTTGACTAAATGATAAACAAATATCTCATCCTATGTTTGGTATATTATTCTTTTGTCATAAAAGAATAAGTAGGTCTTGGTACTAAATAGGAGATTTTCTGATCCTATCTCAGCTCCTCACTTACTTGTTTCTACTATGGTTTTCCGAATGCATAAAGAATGACTTTCTCCTCTGCCCATCCCCCACCCAAAAGAAAAGCCTATTCTATCATAGATAGTAAATAAATCATGGAGTTAGAGGATCCCTTAAAGATTAGAATAACACAATCAGCAGAAGAGAATCACTAAATATTTTCAATATGTGGACTACATTATCTACATGGATTATGATGTACACATCAAGTAATTTAGCTCATCATTGATCAGAAGTGTTAACATACCATGATATCTGAATTGGAGTCTGTTCATCTTCAATAGGCTCTTCGTCTGATGAGTCAAACTCATTTGTTTGCAACGAACTAGGCTTCAAAAGAAATCAGTTATGTTAAATAACTGTAAAGAAGAATATGTACATATAAGCTGATCCTTGCTTAAACACACACTGAATACATATTTGCAATTTATTCAATCTGGAATATCAGAATGATCAGGGATATCAATAATAAATTATTGATTTTACCATCCTATTAATAATTGCAGTGCTCTGTAGTGGAAAGAGAATTGGATTGGGAACTAACCAGGATTCTGGTTTTGTTTCTGCCACTTACTGTATAATTTCGGAGAAGCAACTTCAGTTTATTCTGGGTTTCAGTTTTCTACAACTATAAAGTGAGGAGATCTCTTCATTAATTCACAAACATTTCTTAAACACATTCATTTGCCAAGCTCTGGAGATGCAAAGATCCATAAAATAAATAGCTTCGGTAGAGTTGGAGAGAGATGTGCATAGATTATAAAAGAAAGTTGTAAATGCTAAAACGGAAGCATAAACTATGTACTTTATTTATTTTTAAAGATTTTATTTTTTTATTTGACGGAGAGAGAGAGCGAGCACAAGCAGGGGGAATGGCAGGCAGAGGGAGAAGGAGAAGCAGATTCCCCGCTGGGCAAGGTCCCTGGGATTATGACCTAAGCCCAAGGCAGATGCTTAACCAACTGAGCCACCCAGGTGCCCCTAAACTATGCATTTTAGAGCAGAGAAGGGAGTGACTGCTTACAGAGCGGGAGAAAACTTCAGATGGGATATATTAGCTGGGTTTTGAAGGATGAGAGGAAGTTTTTGGCAGATGAGGAAGAAGTTAAGGCAATAAAGGCAAAAGGAGAAAGGGCTTGTTTTCAGGAACTGTGACATCAGAGCAGAGGCGATGAAGCCAATAAGTAGTTTTAACTACCCCATTTCTCAAAAAATAACCCCAATGCGGCCTAGTAGTTTGGTTGATGGGGGGTGGACAGGTAGAATAACATGCCCTCAACTTTGTGAATCACTGGACTAGAGAGATCAAAATGGACTTTGTGTAATGATCTAAGGAGTTGGAACTCAATCCTGTAGGCATAATTTCTACATGAGAACATTAGTTTTATAGGACCAATAAAAAACAGAACTTTCTTCTCATTTCCAAGTTGGAACCACCTGAGAGATAAAATAGTGGAGAGGCAAATGGAGATCAATATGTTAGTTTTATTACTGAGTGTCAAAGGGAGGATGTGGTTTTAAAGCTGTGGTCAAGTGGACCTGCCAATTCTTCACTCCAGAATTGGACTTACCCACCCAGTCATGGGAGCAATGGACAGCCCAGTGCAGAGAGAAGGGAAGAAAGGGTTCAGCTATTTTGTTCAGCTCCTCCCAAACTGGGGGATCAGATCTCTCACTCTGTCCCTTCTGGGAACAAGTGGAAAAAGAGGCCAGGAGTGAAGGACAGCTGATGCTCCTACACATGGAAACATGGGGATTAGCAAGTGTAACCAGCTAATGTTCTTGCCAGTTCTGAAGCTATATTCTATAATGGTCTTGTTCCTTACTTACTACAAGATCACATTACACAGCCATTTAGGCTATGGATATGAGTTGCTTTGGATCTCTTTGTGTTGTTATTATCAACTCAAATGAAGGTCCTTTAATATTCGGTAGGTTGTCAACCCTGGTGGTAGGTGATTGAGTCAGGTGGGGCCTCAGCTCCTTGCGTCTGTTCTTCCTTTCTCTTTAAAGCAGTTTTGACGACTCAAGATTTTCAGAGTGATTGTGGCTCCTTCATTCAGGCTCTCCCAGCCAGGTTAACAAATCCTAACAGAGTTGGACGTTTCCGCTCCCCCAGGCCCAGGGATTCTGAACCGCAGAAAGGGATGCAGTGCCAGTTGGCCCCGGGGGATGGTGACGCGCCCACAAACGGGGGTTGGCAGAGGTCTTTCGTGAAGTTTTCCCCATCTGCGGTGAGGACCGCTCACCAGGGGTGCGCGGGGCATCCCCGGACATCCTGCGGGGCTGGGTATTAGGCAGACTGATACACGGAGACATCTTAGCTCTCCATGTCACAGTTTCTTGCGTAAAACCGGACTCAGCCCTCTCTTGCAGGGCTGTCGTGAGGCTTAGGAGCCTCCGCAGGCGGCAGTTCCCAGTCTGTGCACAACAGGTGCACAGCCAATGTCCGTCGTCCCCACGTCCGCCACCGACCCTGTTCCTTCTCAGTCATCGCTCTCCCCGGTCCAGGGAAGCGCCACCTCCCCGACCCAGGACGGTTACAGTGCAAGTCAGGTCGCGACCACGCCTAGGCCGTCCCCAGGCCCAAGAACTGGCCTCGGGGCCGCTTCCGTCCCCTGTGGCATCGCTCGTCCAAGCCTCGCCCGACTCACCGGCTTCATCGCTGGCCGCCCCGCGTCGGGACCTGCTGCCGCCTCTCTCCAGCGGCACCGGCGTCTCAGCCAGCGCCCCGCGCCGAGCCCGCCCCTTCGCTCAGCTCATTGGTACATCCTTCTGTGAGGTGGGGCGCGGCGTCTTCTAGGAACCAATCAGACCCTCTCCCTGTTCCTTCCTTCGCCCCCGAGGGCCCCGGCTCGGCCTTTAACCGCTCATTGGTTTCTAGGGGGCCTTTGAAAGACCCGCGGCTGGAGGGCCCTACTGAACGTCGATTGGCTGGGAGGGCGCCCTCCTCCCGCCAGTGGGGAGCGGGGACAGGGCGGGAAGCGGGAGCGGAGAGAGCGTCTGAGCGCAGCCCCGACACTTTGGGGACGCTGGAAAGCCTTGCTTTCTCGTGACAGGATTCCCGAGGGGTACCAGGGTAGGGAATTTTGCTTCTTAAATTTAAAAAATTTTAAGGACATAGGGGGAGCACTGTCCTGGAGCATCTTAGGAAAACACTCCATACCCCATAGACTTTATACTTATGGTCATATCTAGTCATATAAATAGGATGGACACGACTAAAAATCCAAAATATAAACATAACTTGTATGTTTGGCATTTTAGGTTCTTTACCATTCTAGGATCTAGACAAGGTTAGGTTGTAGATTCACATTCCTGTTCACTAAATATGAATGCAGTGGTATTGTATGAAAGGAAGATAAGTCTCCAGATGATTTTAAGTGCTAGTGTTTTTACATAATTGGCTATAGTCTTGAAAAGCTGTGTTTGATTATCCTCCGCCCCCATTGTCCCGTCCGCATTTAGCTGACCACGGAGAAGGAAGTCATCGGGAGCAATATTACCTGCACATCTGCAGAATATATGGAAATTTCAGCTCCCTGACTCATGTTGTGAAAACCAGTGGGCATAGAGCTAATAGGAGGAATTCTTTAGTAAAGAAGATAGCATACTTTGACTTGGAGTCTGTATGAACCAGGGTTCTCCAGAGAAACAGAACCAAGAGGATATAGACACAAAGACATTTATTTTAAGGAAGTGGCTCTCCCAATTGTGAAAGTTTGGCAAGTCCACAAAGTCTGACAGGGGAGTTGAAGGGCCTGGAGACTCAGGAAGGACTTGCAGTTGAAGTTCAAAGGCAGTCTGCTTTAGAACCAGGACTAGCAGATTTTGCAGATGAAGTCCAAAGGCAGATTGCTGTGGAATGCCCTCTTGCCTTTTGTTCTATTCAAACCTTCAACTGATTGAATGGGGCCCACCCACATTATAGAGGGCAGTCTGCTTCACTCAGAGTCCACCAATTTAAATATTAATCTCATCCCAAAGCACCTTCATAGAAACATCCAAAATAATGTTTGACCAAATATCTGGGTGCAATAGCCCAGCCAAGCTGATACATAAAACTAGCCATCATAGACATGTTGGACTTGATTGATTGATACATTCATTCAGAAAATATTTATTGAGCACCACTTGTGTCCTAGGTACTATTCAAGATGCTGGGAGTGAACTGGAATGAGTTAACCAATATCTCTGTCTTTATGGGGCTCACATGCTATAGGTGAAGAGAGTTAGGTAGTGATACGTGCTGTGAAGAAAAATTAAAATAAGTAGAGACTGATGAAGATGCTATTCTAGATAGAAAAGTCAAGGAAGGCATCTTTGAGGAGATGTCATTTGAGACATCCAAATGAAAAGAGAGTGAACCATTTGAGTATTTAGAGGAAGAGTTTTCAGTCTGTCTAAAAAGGCAAGAGGTGCAAAGGCCCTGAGGTAGGAATGTGTTAGGTATGTTCCAGAAACAGCAAGGAGGCCAGTTTGGGAGAAACTGAATGAGGCAGAGAGTGGTAGGAAATAAAGCAGGGACTTGTGGCTTAAGAGCTTCTTTTCTAAAGGATTCAAGAAAGGGTCCAAAGAAAGATTGGGGCCTGGGCTCTGGGTAGGTCCTCTCTGGTGGATATTCAATACTCTCTCATTCTCTAAGTCTCACCTTCTTTCCCCTTCTCCCTATGTTGTCTTCACAGATCTCTTTAATCTTCAGCATCAGGGGTCTCTTCCATTTCCTCAGAACATACCATCCTCCTCAGAATGGATGAAGTCCCAGCTCCATTGAGTGTTGTACAATTTCTGCCTCCTCTGGCCTCAGCTGGATGTGAACACAGAATTAACCTGTTCTGGCCTTTGCTGATTCTGCAGAGTGGGGAGGATGAGCTCTAGTCTCATGGTAGGAAGGGGGTGGGAGGCTGGGGGTCACCTGGGAGCATTTCAACTTTTGTTTGTTCTCTCCATCCTCAGGGCTGCATCTAGGCTTTGTCTTTGCCTAAAGACAAACACATCTCACTTCTATGATGTAGTTTTTTGTTTGTTTGTTTTTGTCTAGTCCCAGGGTTGGCAATCTGTGGCCAATGGACCCATTCCCACAGGCCTGTTTTTGTAAAGTTTTATTGGCATACAGCTACATTCAGTTGTGTAAGTATTGTCTGTGGTTGCCTTTGCACAATAGAGCTGAGTACCTACAACAGGGGCTGTATGGCCTGCCGAGCCTAAGATATTTATTGTCTGGCCCTTTACAGAAAATGTAAGATATTTACTGCCTGGCCCGTTACAGAAATGTTTGCCCAACTCCTGGTATATAGTCTTTGAGAGAAGTGTATGTTTCTTCTAACAACATGATTTTAAGCCCACTTCTCGCAAAATAAGAGTCCCTGCCTTATTATGCAAAAAGATGTTCTCTGCTTGGCGTGGTCCCTTTGTTATGGAGGGTCCCACATAAACTGACAAGGTCTTTGGCTGAGCTGTCTGGTTAAATGGCATGATAGTAACCTGGTTTCTGTCGAATCCCCAAGATTCTCCCCTGAAAGGAGGAGTGGGGGCTTAGGTTCAGCCTGCCACACCTGTAGTTCTCAGTTAATTTTTTGATGCGTGTGACTTCATGGCTGTTAACAGAAATGTATGTGGTCAAAACAATGTGGAAGATTTATTCAAACTGTCAGAGGGAAAAGTGTTAACACATGTTCATAGACAGATGAGTATTTTGAGAGATGCTCAAAGAGAAATGAAATATGGTTGCTATCAGTAGTCGCCCTTGGATGTATGTTTTACAACTAGATCCGTATTTTAAAATATTTTAATGTTAATACTAATGGATTTGACATGTGTGTTAGGGGAGAGAACAATGGAACCTTAGAGTTGAATGCCACTTGAGAGAACATACTTCCTCATTCTTGATATGCCAAGTTTAAGAATTTCTCCTGTGATGATGACCGTCAGTACAGTATATGACATGGCAGTATGCATATGTTGTCTTCCCGTTGCTTTTCCCGTTGGAGAGTTGCCCCTTTTCCTTTTTTTTTTTTTTTTAAAGATTTATTTATTTATTTGAGACAGAGAGAATGAGAGAGAGAGAGCACATGAGAGGGGGGAGGGTCAGAGGGAGAAGCAGGTTCCCTGCCGAGCAGGGAGCCCGATGCGGGACTCGATCCAGGGACTCCAGGATCATGACCTGAGCCGAAGGCAGTCGCCCAACCAACCGAGCCACCCAGGCGCCCAGTTGCCCCTTTTTCATTTCATGTGTTCTTGTTGAGCAGGTGGTTGAGACTGACCCATAAATGTACCTTATTCTTTTGGTCACAGTTATTGCTCCAGGGAAGGCTCATGACGCGCCTGGAGCGTCCTTTCTTGTTTTGTGTGCTTTGGTTGTTGGTGTTCTTATTTTCTTCTTTACCTTCCTTAGGCTTCTGTTTTACCCCAGAATGATGCTGAGTTCTAATTTGCACTGGATAGTTGGAGTAGATTGTAAAATCTATTTAAAATATTATTTAAAATTTAAAATGCTCTTGTATTTTATAATTGGAATGGATATCACAGTTTCACTCATCTCACATGCTCTTCTGCAATGTGACTTTGCCATGCTCCAGCATAAGGTAGCACATAATACTCCTCCTCTTAAATATGGCTGAACTTAATGACTAGTTTGATGAATAGTGACAAATGATAAGCTCAAAAAAAAAAAAAAATGATAAGCTCAAAAAAGCTCCCAGATCAAGAGATGGAACATTACCAGCTCCTTTGGACTTGTGACAGTATTGATTAATTTCACTTGCTTGTGAATTGTATACAAATGGAATATTTTATGTCTGGCTTTTTTGGTTCAACTTGATGTTTGTAAGATTCATTCATGCTGTTGTGTGTGGTTGTACCTGTTCATTTTCACTGTATGAATACACTACAATTTATTTTTCCAATCCACTGTTGGCAGATATTGGTGAGTTGCCAGTGCTGGGCTATTATGAGAAATGCTGTCACGAACATTCTTGTCCATGTCTTTTGGTAACTCATATACGAGGAGTGTTGCTGTTGGGCATATAACGAGGAGCGGAAGTACATTTGTTCATTCTTAGTCTATAGTGCCAAACAGTTTTCCCACGAGGTTATACCTATTCACACTCCCACTGGTGCTGTGTCAGAATTCTAGCTCGACATCTTTGCCAACATCTGGTATTGCCTGTCTTTTTCATTTTAGCCATGGGGTGAGTGAGTCATTTTATTTCAAAGCAGTATCTAATTTCAAATCATTGCATTTTTGGAAAATTTCTCTGTATTATGTGTTAATTACTTGGTATACATATTTTTCTGTATTACTTTAGAAATGTACATATCACTGCAACATATGTATTTTGAGGGCACGAGCCTATGTTAGACTAGGAAACTACCGACATGAACTGTGTGGCTCCACATGAAGAAGGTTCTCAAATTTAGACAACATCAATGAGCTCCTTACGTTGTGGTGGGAGAAATATTAATATTAATGCAGCCCCTCCGTATTCCTCACGATAGTTCAGTGAGTCCTCACCGACGACCTTCCATATGCTCTGAGATGTAAGAGTAAAGCACCCACCGTCTTTGGCTCTCCTGCTCTCGCTTGCTAGGGTAATGTGTCTGGTCACTGCCCAGGCCTGGAGCAACTGCCATGCTGGCACCCACCAAAGGGGCTGTGACTAATCACTACCGTCCCACCCGTCTATCACACCAACAGCACCTTCTCTGTCGCTGCCGCTGAAATTGCTGACGCAGGATTTCACTAACCCTTGCATCTTCATGTTTTATGGCAATTTTAATG